GGGGGGGGGGAGCAGCAAAACACACATCAGCAAACACTCTGGGGATTTGAGCATTTCAAAATCCTACCCTTTGACCCGTGGCAGGTTTACCACCTCTCTCATGTTTACTGTCTCAGTGCGATATGGGTCAGCATAGGCCTCAGAGGAAAGGTTGTGCTGAGGCAGGAAACGTGACTGGGAGTCGTCAGATCAAAAGGGAAGGGCGGAGGTGGAGCGAGAGAACGACCCGATGCCGCCGCAACCGCTGCCAAATGAAAAATGCATGATTGCAAGAAATTTGAATGCGAGGTAAATTGAGTGTGAGGGGGAGAGCAGAGAAGGAAAGAGGGAAACAGACTCTTTGTCTACACGTCTCTTGTGATTGTGCATGGCTGAGAGTGTAAAAACAAGTGTGTGCATGCGTTTAACACAAGATTTTGTCAGTTCTCTGTGCACAAACAAATTCAGAAGTGTAGTCGAGTTTGGTAAATTTTGCTTTGAATTGTGAATAAAACATTTCCCTTTTCTTCCTTGCATCCAAAACTCACTCCTAGCCACCAAAGAAAAGTCATGTAACATGACACGGTGCAGGAATCTGTTGGAATGATTTCAATATCATTTTATGACAATAATGTATATTGCAGAAGATACAGCAAAATGTATTGCTAATTAGTGTTTTTATTTTCCATCCGTTTATTTATTTAGCTAATTTAATTTACCAACTTTTCCATTCATTTTTTCAATATAATTTGAACCCAGCCAACATCAATGGCGGCTGAATGGGAGCAAATCCCTGGAGCCACGTTCCAAGAAATTGTAGAAAAAGGAGAGGAGGCTGTTATAGCAGCACATTGCTGCCCATGGTTTTTGGAACGAGGTGTTTTCAGCCCAATAGGGTTTTTAAACTGTTATACAACTGCTCTGGGGAACCCTGCAAGTATAGTAGTTATTGCTGTTGAGAGTTTGAGGAGAAAAAAAACAAAAAAAAAAAACTCCCCTGTCCTTGATTACTTGCAACATTCAGTTATTAAACATCATTGCAGATGTGCTGCTGGAAATGGGCTTCAAAATAATCCAAAAGCCCACGGCGAGACAGACACTAGAGTCATTCCACAGATCATGACGCAGGTAACCAAATAAGAGTTCCTCCTCCTCCTCCTCCTCCTCCTCCTCCTCCTCCTCCTCCTCCTCCTCCTCCTCCTCCATGTATTTATTTGCCAAACTGTTACCACCTGAAGCCCCCCTCCTCCTCCAAAGGCTTTGTCCCTCACTATACGCTCTCAGGTGACAGAGAAACACGAAACCCTTCAGCGCCATGACGAAATAGAACTCCTTAAAAATGAAGAGCTTCATTCTGAACTGAAATGTCTGCAGACTCTGCCGGTTTCACAACAGATTATTAAACGCGGCTGTCGTCATCTTTCCTGAGAGAATCGCTTTTAAAAAAAGGAGAAATTAAAACTAATCTGCAGTCAACTGAATGAAAAAGTCTTTGTAACGATCCAAGGAGCGTTTTCAAGTAAGGCCGTTTGCAAAATCTTTGAAAATGCATTTTTTAAAATCGCTTGGCCTTTTAGTAATGTCAGCAAAAAGGTTAAGCGGTGTTGTGTTTAGTTGAACTTATTCCTGCATTTGGGTTTTCTATTGTCGCTCTCGTGTAAAAGCACTGAGAAATGTGAAGCGGGTCGTGCTCTGAACCACCAAACATCTTTGAAAGGACCCAATCAACTGTTCTTGTGAAATAACATGTGTGCGAATTTGAATCGAGAGCAGAGCGACTGGCCGCTATAACAAACTTGAGCGACCCCGGTGCAAACTCTGGTGTTTGTCCATGCGGTAACGGAAGCATATTAGCCATGGTAACTGTGCGTCATGTGTTTCGAAATGCACACAGTCTGCCCCTGCCGATTGTGCACAGGAAGAGCTTGAGAATGTGGCATTCATACAGCTGTATTTACTCTTTATAGAGGCAGCAGCTGTACGGGTGCTGAGGGACTTTTTGTCCTGTTCACAGAGCATGACGCTAATCTTTTGATCGTTGCTGCTCTATTACAATAAACACATTTAAACCCTTTTAGCTCTTAACCCTCTCGGGGGAGCCATCTAATGTATCTCACACTTCAGGGGCAGCAAACACGGTCAAACGCAAAAACCATATTGTCCGATGAGGCGGCCTGCAATCAGAGGGGTTCGATTTTATGCTTTTAAAAAGGCGATGAAGAGGGAAGAGCCTCAGCAGAGTGAATCGCTTAGATAACTTGGGTAGCAGTGAGATTCACATTAGCCAACAGTGGGAATATGAAGTCAAACTGTTGCGAGATACCCGAGAATACCCGCGGCCCGAGGAGGTGAAATCCACACCACTCCATCCGCCTCTAAACCGTTGGTTTCCCATGCTGCACCTGTTGCTCCCACACCAGCCAGTACCTGTGAGAAAGCCCGAGCTCTGCATCAGATCGGACAAAGCATCTTTTTCAAACCCTTTTGTGTCCGTAAAGAACAGCTTTCTGTTTGTTACCGGACAGGCCTGTGATTAGCGTACCTGTCCGTTTAAAGAGAAGGTGCTTTTCTGTGCAGGATGCTTTATGGTTGAGCGAAGTGTATTCACGGGCCAGAGGGTAGGCACATTTAGTTTTTTACAACCAGTGCGTTGCCCCTTCCTTCTGAAACTCGCATCCAGCGTAATGAAGTGTGACATCGGTGTACGTGGAAGGATCATCCTCACAGTCGATGACAAAAGGCCACTGTCTTTTATGAGCACCGGGCTGGAATTAAAGCCCGCCCCGCTCCCGATAATACATCAGGCGAGGTTCACCCTGACTTTATTGCTATGTAAATGTCTGCATCGCTCTGGATGGGTGAGTCGGTGGCGTTCAACTCAAATGAGAAAGGCCTTGGCTCAGCTGAAAGCAGCTTCTGATCCTCTGACAAACACATTCCTTAATGGAATGATTACTGTCCTTTACAGTCGGTTTACAACCAAAGAGTTTTCTAGATTGGGCTAATAAAGTGGCCTAAAAGATGAGGCTGGCAATGTTCTATACTGTTTTATTATTGTCAACAGATCCCAAAACCAACAATGACTTGATCCTGCTATGTATTTTCTATTTAGCCAAAGCCTGATTCATGTTATTTCCCTGTGCTATGGAGCTGCACTGTTACTCAAAAACCCCACGTATGTCATCCTGGTGCTGTACATACACGTGTATAAATCTGCAGCTGAAAGTAGTCCCAAACATTTTCACCGTTTACTCCAGTTTAAGTAACATTTGCCAAAAACTACAATGCCCAGCTGTTCTATGAAAATAAAACCATCTCTGTGAGCCATTTTTTAAAGCTCCATATATTTAGTAGGGAATTCGTATGAGCAACAGTAAAAAGGCTAAGGGCAATCAATTAATGACACGAGATGGAGAAATATTCAAAAAGGAGAGGATTCAATCTACAAATGTGTAGCATCTTTATTTAACAAGTTACCTGCAAGCTGACCGACAAATGGGCCAGCACTGACATCTAGAATACCTCCATCAAATAGAGGTATTCTAGATGTCATTATATACGAATCCCTCCACACTTTAGCCTGACATGCTTGATATCTTTAATAATGTTTGGATCTCTACTAGAATGTAAAATCAAGTTATGTGCGTTGTTTAACTGCACAGCATGAATTTGTAATGACTCATGTAACAGTGGGTAAGTAGGATTTATAGAGTTAAGTCTCTAATAGTTTAATTGTTACATGAAACGTTGATTGTTGAGGTCTACTATCGACCGCTACTCAACTTGCTGAAAAAACAAAAAGACGACAAGTGGTAGTTAGCCGTCTGCTTTCTGCTCCCACCTGAATGTTGAACACTCAGAATTGATTTCACTCTTTGAAGTGGCATCATCATGCCTGCTGGGGCACTTTATTTCTCAAACTGCATTTTGTCAGAACCTGTACATGGCGCACCAGCAGAAATTCAAATAGCCTTTGGAAAGGTCATTAGGTTGAATTTCTCTTCAGGCCGCTCTATGGAAATAGAAGCGACTCTGACAAAAGGAAGATCTGAGCCACCCAGACATGCTTTCCTTTTGTCCACACTAGTCCCATTGTTTGTGACTTTAAAGGATAACAGGAGCTACACAAAGGTATTCCTGGTCCATTGAGGATCTTTTTCCCCACGGACTGTCTTTGTTCTTGGAGCGGTGGGCAGAAAGCTACACAATGGATGATGACGATGTATGGCAAGAGTTAATGTGGCTCCCACACTCAGGCCGGTGTTGAAAGGCCATAAAGGTGTGGTATTGAATGTACTCCGAGGCTCAGATACTGGCTGCATTCTTTCACTTGAAGAAAACTGGGACTGAAGCATGTCACAACTGTCATCATTCTATTCTCAACCTTCCTCGTTACTGTTATGAGGATTGATTGGGGTACAGATTTCGTCAGTGCTTCACTCTGTTCATTAACATAAAGTACAGCTGAAGACTGTAGTCTACGTTTGAGTCATAAATATAAATGATTTATGAATAAAACAAGACTTGCAAGTTTTTTTTTGTTTTTTTAGATTTAATAATGAAATATTATAAATATTATCATGCAGAGGTTTCCATAAAGTGTTAAAAACCCGCTAGTCTACCCACATGGCATGAACACTTAACAGCAAGCTCAGTAAATAAGTTTACCATCCAGAGGAAAAGATAATATAATATAAAAGAAAGCCCCGTTTAAAAAAAAAACATAATTACATGTATAGAAGGCATGTGTTGTGCAAACAATATGCTGCTTCAGATAATCGCACACATTTAAAAAGCAATCACAGTGAGCAGCAGGGATGCACAGAACATTACAATTTTCAGCACTGTAACCATTCACAGGGATGCTTACCCTCATATTGTGGGTGGAGGCGAGGCGCGTAGGAGCCGAATTTGATCAGGACGGAGATATCGAGTCCCCGTCGGACCCATTCAACCACATGCAGGGAGGCGGAGGAGGTCACACTGATTGGCTCTGATGGAGGAAAACTACACTCCAACTCAACCACACCTCCAACCTTTCCACGCACCTCCGGCCTCGCACCTCCACTGGTCACTGTTGGGTTTGTCAGAAGCAAAGTGAGAAACGACTTTGAGTTACTTTATCACCACATGTGACGGGATGAGTAACATGGACAGTGGTGTGTGTGCCCGTCGTGAGGAAAATTAGCTGAAAAATATCCAGCTTATCAAATGATGGAGATACTTACGAAATAAGCAAAGAAGTGCCACCACTGTGAAAGTCTGCAAATACGATCTCGCTGACCCCATATCTGTCACTCATGCAACCTGCAGCATGTTCAATCTGTTGGCAAAAGAGACACAATTGTCACAATCACATTACTTCCTTGGCTGCGTTGCAAGAGGGGAGCCATCTGTGACAGATTTCCAAGCTAAAAAGGCTACAGCAGAGCTGCTGCTTCTGTCATCATTTTACAGACAGGAGGAGAGGAACGCTCAGATTTTTATACAGCTTTCAAATAACTGGAATTCATCCCACATCATTACACAAATGGGCAGAGCTGCCATCTGCTGCCAGAAAACTCCCCGGCCCTATATCCTTTTCTGAAAGTAAATGTCATAAATGCCACATAAATCTCCTTTGAGAGTCACGTGCGGAGCGACATCCAAGTGTTTTATTTAGAGCACATCAATGAAGACATTTTGGCTAGAGCAGCCGGGGACTCAGCACTCAAGGACGGAGATAAGTTGAGCCGATGGGAGAGCGCGGGCTGCTGCAAGGCACCGAGGAGTGCAACTTAATGTCAAGATGCTGCGACCGATTCAACCCAATGAAAACACCTGCTTTCGTTTTTTGATCAACTGTGTAAACCAGAGTGGAGGAAATCAACATGATAGGTCGGATTTAAGACACACACACTGGGCACCAATCAGTTTTACCGCCAATCACCTATGTTAGATGCTACCAGCACGAAATGAATAAATAAATGCCACACATTCTGTTGGGAGATCTCGTATCATGCAGGCCATTTACAGCGGGCCACAGCTGCTGCTGCTGCTGCTGGTTAAGGTCAGATTTGACAGGAAATGGTTCCGATATCAGCTGTATAGCCACACACACACCACAGCGGCCTCGCCTGCTTCAGCCCACTCACATCCATAACAACATCTCATTAGACTGAGTTAATAACAGCAGAGCGCACCCATCTAAAGAGCAACGGTTTCATACAGCGAATGGCAAACATCGAGAAGTGTGCCGTGCAGATACGAGCGCTCTGTTCCTCGTGCGCAGAACACTTAAACTACGCTTTGAGTGTGTGGTTCATTCCCTCCGGCACAGCGGTCAAAGAGAGACTATGGGCAGCTGTTGCTTAACAACTGCTGCTGCTACAAATGGCAAGTATTGGATGATGCTGAATGCAAAACTACTGTTCTGCATTTAGCTGAGCTGAAACAGTAGCACAAATGAAGTAATAGCAATTGTTGCAGAGATGGCGTAACATTTGTGGGCCAACCCTGAAAGTTAAGGCCTTTACACAGCGGTGTATATTTTTAGGGCCTTTATTGTGAAATGGTAGAGTGGAAAGAGTGGATCTGGTCGACTTTGCCTTTGTCAAGGTTGGAAGGAAGTACTTAAGTTTGCCGTCTTGGTTCAGACTATGTCGCCTCCGTTTCATTGTACACTACATTTTAACGTTACATATTGAATATATCCGTTCCGCACAAGTGATTGGTTGAAGACTTTACTGGCAGTGCAAAAGCTCAGAAAACTAACAACCTTCGTTACGAATGTATATAATTTCCCTCTAGAATGTGGTGGACTGGAAGTGTAAAGTAGCATGAAATGATAATGTAAAGTACATAATTGTTCTTAACAGCAGTACTTTGGCAAATGAACGTGGCAACTTGCCACCAGTGTAGTAGTGGTGGAAAGTAACTCACCGAGGAAACACAGCAACCTTCCCTCTGCTAATGCTTTAATTTGTGATCGTGGTATTGAGGGACAACTTGTGTTCCTCAATGCAAGGCACAACCACAGGGAAGAAGTGAATTTATTGGCACCAGCTCCACTGACGGCTCGTAACAGACAAAAAAAGTGTGTGTGTGTGTGTGGGGGGGGGGGAAGACAACAACCCCGCTATTAGTTAAGATTTCGTTCTCATTAAATTGGAAGTTAGTTTGACTGACGGCCCCTGGCTTGTATCATTTCCTGCTGTGAAAGTTAAAGTAATTAATTTCTTGCATGCCACAAAGTGCAATGTCAACATTAGCATACAGAGTACAATACAATACAGCTTTACTGTCCATCAACAACACTTCGGCAGTATCGATGATTGCAACTTTAAGACATGACATGACTACAGGCAACATTTAAAGCAATAACAACATCACCTCATTCCAGGCATGAATGACATCACATGAAAAGTACAACTGAAATGCAATCTAAACGGTGCTTTATCTTTGCAGTGCTGTATATTGTCAGTTTGAATTTGGAAATAAATGTAGGACTCCTACATGAAATAGTATTGTTACTAAAAATGAAATGAAGGGTCATATATTAGTTTGTCTTTGTGGACTTTTCTTGTGCATAGCTGCTATGGTCACATGTGCAGGTATGAGTTCAAAAGGTCCATTATAAAATGGAAAAAGGTTGACTTTAATAGATTTGTGTGGTCATATAATGATGTCCTTGCCTTCCTCAGTGATCTCTCTAAGTCTTCCTGAGTGTGAACAGTACACACACCCTCGTCCCAGCAGCCGCACAGGCCATATCTGCCCTCCCTAACCATGAGGCTTTTACAGGCCTTTTTTTCTTCATTTCATGGCTGGGGCAAAGTCTGAATCGGTGGAAAACAATTACACAGGCTGTCAACAGCTGCAGTGCCTTGTTCCAACACACTCCCATGCTTCAGCAAACAGCACGGCGTACACAGATTTTCCACAGAATCAAAGTGAAAGTCAAAAAAAAATAAAAAATCCCCAATCTGCAGTGCGTCTGCCATCTATTCCACAGACTTCCCCTGCCCTTCATGCAAAGCAGCACAACAAAAAGCTCATCCAGAACTTATTACATTTGAATTAGGCAGGCGAGTGTTTACAGATGCCAAGCCATCAGGCAAGCGAAAGTTCCGACATTATGAACGTGTTGTTTCTCACGGTGGGCGAGGGGGGCACGCACGTGTTTGGCCCATGGTGAAGACATGCCCAGCATCTTCTCCTCGCTCTTCATCGACTGCCTCTCGTTAACTCAAAGAAAGAGTGGCGATGACAAGGATTGGATGTCATGTAATGGCGTTCATCGTGTAACTGATTAAAGAAATATTACCAGACACTTGGGCTCTGCATTTGGCCTCCAAATACAGAGAGCTACAGATGAAAAGAAATGTTGTTTATAGATTTATTGCTCTGACAAGGTAAGACTTATTTGTGCGTCTGGCGATATAACAAGGCAATAAAAGTAGAACAGTGATAAAAAAAAATAAAAAATGTAATTGTCGAGAGAAAGGGAGCAGGGAAAGTGTGGCAAACGCAGCAAGAAGAAAGATGAGGAGAGGCGAAAAAAGAAAAGCTGCAGGATTTTTTTTTTCGGTCATTAAATCTGAACAAAGAACTCACAGAGCTCCCGAACAAAGCGGCCCGCGCAGGTGAAACGATCAGCCATGGCAATGCAGATGGTCTCTAGACATTGCACTGTGGACGTATTATTTTTTTCCTCCATCTGACATTGCACACAAACACAGTGACAGCGCAGCACTCTGGGAAATGTTTAAAGCTCTAATAAATTAGCCAGTAGCTCACAATGGAAAGCGTCCTGTCTCACGCAGATTCATCAGCTGACAGAAATAGAAATGTCAGTGACAGGCGTGATGTTGAAAGTCTGTGTTGTTGCCATTTTAATCTGTGTGGGGAGAGAAATGGGGGACCAGTTGATTAATCGCGACCGAGGCACACTAACAGATTTGTCAACAGTTCTGCCTCCTCTTTCCCCAACACAGTTGAAGGCGTAAGATAAAGGGACTCCTGCACATTTGTTTTCTCATCAAATTCCATTTCTTCGGCGTGAGGCGTTTGTGTCTGTGCTCAAAACCTGTCCTTTATAATGCGCTAGGTGCCGATGTAGGCAGCTACAGGTTCTGTATCCTGTGGGGACTCTCAATCTCGGATAATTGTTCAGTGGGTTGAGATGCTTTTAAAAGGCTGTTTGGATCTGCCGCAAGAAAATGGTGTTCCTCTCACTTTAAAATAAACAAAATCATAATGGAAACCATTCCTCCAAAAGGCGGCGCGTACTCCATGGATCTACGTTGACGTTTGGACAGTTAAAAAAAAGAATGGATCCCAATTGATGCAGCAGAACCAGTGATATCATCCTTTTCCTCCACATCCTTCTGCCTTCATTCCTTCCTTCTGACGCCTACATTACCCAAAATGCAACTCAACTGCTGACAAAATTGATACTGCACAATAGGGCTGCAACAACAATTATTTATATTACTGATTTGCAGCAATTAATCGTTTCTGATCAATAAAATATCAGAAAACTGTGAAACATGTCCCTGAAGCCCTCGGTGATGTCTTCAAAGTGATGGTTTTGTCCGACCACCACTCCGATACCAAAGACTATTTGGTGCCATTTTTTTACAATCACATATGAACTATGGATTTTACTTTTGGCTCCCTAAAGATGCGACTTGAGACTTCAAGTCATAAAACATTAAGTCAGAAGTGAGAGGGTTTGACATTAATAGCAGGCGGTGTCCACTTCCTATATACAGTCTATGGTTAAAAGCAATAAAAGAGAAGTATGGCTGAGACTCAAAGGCCTTGTACCGTCTGACAGCTTGAATACTTAATCATCAGGCCTTTGTCTCAACTACAAAAAACATCAACACAGCTTTTAAATAGAATTCAGTGTTCGCAAAGCTTTGAAATGTGCTTAAAGACTTTGAGACTTGACCTGGAATCTTACCTTTATGTCCAACATATTCCAATAATCTAAATTTGCTTCGAAATCTCTTGTCAGGGTGCTGATTGCCAGATGCCTTTCACATCTGAAAATAAAACGCCGCTCGCTGGCATTCATCCTGCTGTAACCCACCTCTGCAGCACTAAATGTTTTTGTGATTAAATGACTTTAGCGCTGAAGTTTTCCCCCCACAAGGTGCTACATTATTTTGTCTGCCCCCTGTGAGTGTGCATTTTATTTTGTCATAGCTTGCACACGGCTTAGAGAAGCCAATTTTCAAATTCTAACAAAAGCTTCCCATCACAATAGGAACCCTCCGCGTGGCTCAGTTTGATGTGCACTTAAGAGAAAATAGGACAGACTGAAAACGGGAGAGGAAAAAAGGGGTATAAAGAGACTTCCACTGTGTGGGTATTGCATCTCTGCACTCAGAGTGCAGACATGAGGTATCTTTTTTGTGAATCAGACAGCAGGTATTGGCAAATCAAGATGAATCTCTGATCTGTGAAATATACTTTAGTCGTACACAGCAGAGAAAGGATGTCAGAATAGTTCCAAGTCAACATAGACCAGTTCCAAGTCAACACAGACCAGTTCCAGGTCAAGACAGAATAGTTCCAACACAGAACAGTTCCAGGTCAAGACAGAACAGTTCCAGGTCAAGACAGAACAGTTCCAGGTCAAGACAGAACAGTTCCAACACAGAACAGTTCTAGGTCAAGACAGAACAGTTCCAACACAGAACAGTTCCAGGTCAAGACAGAATAGTTCCAGGTCAAGACAGAATAGTTCCAACACAGAACAGTTCCAGGTCAAGACAGAATAGTTCCAACACAGAACAGTTCCAAGTCAAGACAGAATAGTTCCAGGTCAAGACAAATGGTTACCAAGTCAAGACAGACCAGTCACAAGTCAAGCACAGAAACAGTACATATTTATGACAAAAAATGTTAATCATATTCCATTCAATTATTAATAATACCTCTGTGCAGTTATGTGTAATGCCTGAGCCGGATGTTTTGCTTTAGCCATCTGGTTTTTGTTGACAGCAGCAGAGTCTTTACATCTCAGTCTGATAATCTGAGGTATCATCTGCTGTCTGTCTGCTGCTGCTCTTCACTGCCACATGCACCTCTCCCTAAAGATGGGGCGATGCGATTGGCTGCCGTCAAATTGATTCGGAGCATATCTGTTGTCAGGAAAATGAAGAGCTTTTACGACGTCGTTTTTTTTCCTCTTGGAGAGGATATAAAATCATTCCAAATCATAAATCCGAGTGATGTCGACTTGAGTCCACACCTTATAAGTTACCATTTCCAAGACAGGAGACAAGCATGACTGTGCAAAAACAGCTGAGACTCAATATCAAGATGGTGTATCTCTGGTAATGTTGTGTAAAGCAACTTGCAGCAGTCTTTTGATGAAGCAGAAATACATCTAATCCCCATTTTATCAGTCGGATGAGTGTGATGGGGTCCTACATGAACACTTTTTCTGCCAAAGTTCCAAACTATTTGGTTATTTGACAAGAGAAGTTTTCCTTTTTTTTATCGTTGCTATTCTCGCTGGTTTGAAGTGGGTGGGGATTATTAGGAAAAGAGTGATGACACATACTTGTGAACCAATCAGCATTTGGCAACATTTGAATCAGAACCTGATCAAACCACGGCCACACAGTACCTGACTAAGCAGCTAAATTAACCTTTTGAGTGTAAAACTTTAAATAACGTACACCTAAAGATTACTTTTTTTTTTCCAACCTTGATGTCTGCAATCTTAGTCATGACCATCAGTGTTATAAAGAACTTCCTGAACATTTGGAGCCAAGTATCCAGAGGCTTTAAAAAGCCAATCCCAGTTGGTTTTACATGACCACCAATTTGAATTGTGTTTTCTCCCAACGTTCTGACAATTGTTAGTTTCCAATTCATGACATTACCGTTTTACAGAGACTCTCTGGACACGGATAATCCATCAGAATAAACCAATTTATTCTAATTTTAATTCTAACTATATTCTGAACCAACACTGAATCTGCTCTGGGACACAGCATGCAAAAACACTGGTATGGCCTCAAGAGAGCTTTGCAGGTGGTAATTTGCATCTACTTCAGACTGCTTTAAGTGTCTCACGTGAAGTGTTTTCTGGCTCGACATAATTCAGTCGGTGTCAGTCTTTCTCCTTCACATTAAAAAGTAATTTCCACCCTGTTGACGTAAACTTTGTGGGAAATGTAACATTGTGGGGAAACTGTGCTCATCTGGCACCTTAACAGACTCAATCAAACCAGAGATGGAATTTGAAATGATTAAATGAACCTTGTCTGGGGGAAGTTATGAGAATAGTTCTCTCATAATCTGTGAAATGAAGAAAGACTCTTGTCACAATACAAAGTCAACAGCACAAAGCGATGACATTCCACATTCTGTGTCTGGCTCTACATATTGTATTGGATCTTATCAGCTCAGACTCTGCTCCTTTTTCGAACCACTAACGACTAAAACACACACACACAATAACACAGCCCTAGTTGGTATTTTGGAGGCTTGAAACGGTCGTGAGAAGTGAGTTCAAGCTCCACAAACTTTATGCCAATTTCACAATCCACATTATAATAATGACCCCCCCCCCCCATAAAAACTTCATTACTCACGTTTAAATGCATGCCACTGTTCAGAGGATTGAGAGCAAATTTCGCACTTATTTCTCATCATTTTCAGAGCTGCAGGAAGTCAGAAGCACTTTCAGACTCACTAAGTGCTGCTGTCTTTTTGTATTTATTACTGATCCTACCTGTAGCTCGGTGACTGGCGGCCGCTGAGAGATTTCCTTTTCTTTTAAAAACGCATCCTCTGTATGTTCCTCTCAGTCCAGCCTGCAGGTCACCTGTCTGGTTTGCTTTAATAAGCGGGCCTCGAAACTTGCGAGGCGGCGCAAATTACCTGAAATTCGACCGTTTTTCTTCTTCTTTTTAAACCCCCGCCGGCAACAGGTGTTCATTTCACGTACAGGTGACAGTGAAGCATTGACCCACTTCGCTGCTCCCTGGCTGAGCTTCCTGAGAGTCCACCCCCTCCCGTTCGTCCCTCCTCTGGCTGCTGCTGCTGCTGTGTTCTTGTTGTGTTCAAAAGACTCACGCCACATTAAACTGGAGTTACCACCACGGCCATTTAAGCGCTTTAATATTTAAGCCGGTGCAGATTTAAATATAAGAGGTTTGTTTGTGCAGGAAGAGGATGAAAAGGCGATTTTATTTTTTATTAGCCCTTAATCACCCTGATGGCACCCAGCTTAGTGGTAGCCACAAGAGGGTGTCCTTTACCTGATGTTGGTGGCCAAACCCAAGAAAAATGTTCCCTTGGTGGGCCTGTGAGTCGGAATAAACATGCGTTTTATTACGAATAAAAGTGATAACGGCGGCTTCTAGTATTATTCATAGATGTCACCCTTCCACAATGACAATGAAGTAAACTGCAGCTGGTGAGGCTTTCTTACTGTTGTTTTGCTGCTGTGAGACTGTTGATTTCTGAGAGTTTCTCATAAGAATTAAAAAGTTCCTTTTCTGTTTTTGTGAATGACGTCAACCATTATACAGAAGTGATGATTTATTTATTTCTTACAATAAAACTGTCTGTCCAACAGATTTAAAAAAAAAAAAAACGTGGATTTGTGTGATTTGTTTGCTTTTCTTACTTTCTATTCTATGTTCATGTTTTTTGCTTTTTTACCTTTAGTGTGTGTGTGTATGTGTGAGTGTGTGTGTGTGTGTGTTACAGTTAAAGTTCAAGTGTCTTGTTACCACATGGTTAGGCTGGTGGAATTAATCTCAGTACAGATGGAATGACTGTGACAGTACACCACATACAGCATCTGTGCAATCATAAAGGGCAGAGCATACTCCATTCATATTCACAGTTAAGCCGACTTGTGTTTTTAGCGACGGCACTGGAAAAGATTCTGAGGTTTCTCGTGAGACGGTGCTTTCTGTGTTTACAGAGGCTAGTTTGCAGCTTATGATCTTTGATTTCTTTGTTGTGTGCACAGACGTGTTTCCATACCACAGTAGTCGATAGTGACAGGATGCTCTGGGTTATGGATGTGTAAAACCCCCACCTGACTGCTTCCTTGTTACCTTCATGGATTCATTTCCAATTTATCTCCACAGTCTGCCATCAGAACCACGTTCCTCAGTGCAATCAAGAATCACAGTAACAACACCTTCAGATTTCTACTTTTATTCATATTTTATTCTTCATCAAGCAAATATGCATGTAAAAAATACATCTTTCTGTGATATTTCAAAACCAAATGAATATGCACAAACAGCAATACTTCATACGGAAAGTAATACATTCCAGTCAAAAATAGACAAAAGTATACAATCTTTGGATAGTACTGCAAATATAATCTTTCGGGAGAAATACAGTCTCCCGGCCAGCTTTGCATAAAATCATATGGACTACGGCCACAAATAAATATTTGTTTAAGATACACAGTGAATGAACTGTGCAAAGAACACAACACGTCTCGGCCGTCCAGCTCGTGGACTCTCTAGCAGTAGTAAGTCAAAGGCCTCTGTGTGGTCTCCACAAATGTCTCCCCGCTCAGCCGAGGTTTCATTTGCGTTTTTTTCATGAATGAGGCTGCTGCGAGCGACAGGTTCTCTGCTCATTAAGCGTTTGGTTCACTGTTAAGTTGAGTATAATAAAGCCTCTAAGGTTCACCCAGCTGTTTTGTGTGGAGGATAATACAACAGGGAGCATCAAATAAACAACAAAGAATAATAATACAAATCGGCAAACACTTTGAAAGTCTCCACGGCAGAACAGGGATGTGAAGTTTTGCCACATTTGCTACATTCATCCAGAAACTCAATGTAAAACAGCAGGCAACGGTCTCAAGGTGTACAAAGTAATGGAGGGGGCCTCTCTACCAATCAGCAGCTGCCGCTCGGCTCAGTCGCCGAAATCTGGGATGTCGTCGTAGGAGTAACCCCGGTAACCCTTTGCGGCGTAGTAGGCGATTCTCAAATGGTAAAACCCAGGAAGGAAAACGAGCAGTCCTATGATGATGACAGGAATGGTGCGGTCCGGGTGCTGAGAACATAACAAAGAAGAGCAGGAGGTGGGAGTGAGAGTCTGTGATGAGGGGTTACAAGAAGACATTGTGTTTCAAAGCTTGGGAGGAATTTATCTACTTTTAAGTGTGAATGAGACTTCCTGTTTACGCGCAAACATCAAAGACAGGAATGCCCGTACTTGGTGACGAACGGCAGGAAAGAAGCACCGCATCGGGCTTTAACATTCTTATCTCCACGTCGCCTGCCAGCACGACTCAAACACGCTCTGAATGAGGAAACGGTGCGCAGGAGGAGCGCGGACGTGATGACTTCATCTGTCTGAGATCTGGTTCCCTGCAAATCATTAGTCATCTCACATACAGGGGGGAGGGGGGGCGGCGGCTTGTGTTTCATTTCACCACCAGATGGCAGCCTTGTGCACTGAGTTGCTGTGGCCCTCTCAGAGACGAGAGGCATTCTTCTTATTGGGGAGAATTGTTTTTGACTAAAGGCACTTTTTTATTTTTTTCTGGACCTTCAACCGCATCTCATGGTATGCTCAGTTGTTATGGAGATGGCTGACACTGTAGCTGGTAAGTGGACCTCATTGTTGGTTTTTTTGTGTCATTTTGGGGAACTGATCCTTTTTATTTTTCTTATTCCTGAACTTTTTTGGCATCATAAATAAGTAATTTAAGTAAAGCCAAAGGTTATGTGTTTCAACATGGGTTTCATTTCCCTTTCTTTTGCACTGCAATAGTTGACTGTGTTCAAAATGTCTTTTCACAGTGCTCTGTGCTGAAGACCTTGACGTTGCTCCAGTCCACCAATAGACACACACACACACACACACACACACACACACACACACACACACTACAGCCAAAATCAAAAAACAATGAAACAACTTTCTTTCAACCCAAAGCTCCTACAAGGCCTTGCGTTGGAACCTGCCTCTATCCACAGCTTGAACCGTGTGTAATGTGTGGTATTAGATATGCTATTTCAACTTGCGTGGGCTAATTGGCAAGAAGACTGCTGAAACACTCTGATGCTGCCTTCATGGCAAATACAATCTGTAGACTGGGAGGGAAAAAAACACAAACACACATTCCCATTAACCTCCCACTGATAATTACAAATACAATATGTGCCGGTGTAGAGTCATGATGTCAGCAAGCAGAAACCGCAGCAGGGGATCTACCGGAGTTGGCACTCCGAGCTAGGACATATCAAAACCGTTAGTTATATTCAAACACACACACACACACACACACACACACACACACACACACACACCGGCGAGGGCCAGGAAAAATGAGAGCGCGGCAGAAAACTGGCAGCAGGGCAATAAAAATGCTGGGACAACAGTTCAACTACAGAATTAAAAAAAAACGAGATTAACTCGACGCGAGTGTTTTAATTACTGCATGAGTTGACATTGTGGAGGCCGCGTCGGCTCTCCAGATGTGTCAAAACGAGGGCTGGGTATCACACCGAGATACGTTTCTGGTACTGACTGAAATGTTTTCATACTGGAGCACCAAACTGTCAAGTGCTCAGAGCTGGCTTTAAATGTCCGGTCAGATTAGCTGCCTTGTTTACCTCTCCTACATTGAAGTAGAAATGTTGCAGATATTCGGATATTTTAGTGATGCAATTTTCTTGTACGGCTGCTTATGTTTAGACAGCATTTCACATCTAATCATCACTTGTAGAAAAACATGGTTATATTCCTTAAAAATCATATTGTAACAAAGGGAAGGGGGGGGGGTCTCATAGAGAGGGAAACAAGGCCCTTCATGTGTGTGTGTGCGTGCGCTTAATAACTGGTAACGAGCGTGTACTAGGGCCCTTCGTAGCTACCTTACACCACTGGAGAAGAGTGATACCACTCTCATGCCTTTATGGTGAATATGACCGGCAGCTTAGCTTAGCACAAAGACACAGACAGCCTGGCTCTGTCCAAAGGGAACAAAATACACCTAGTTACTGCACCGAGGCCAAGCTGGCACACACAAATTCAGTTTTTGAAGGGATTAACATATATTATAATGTGTTAATTGATGAGCCTTGGAGGTGTTGGTGGGTGGATTTTGTTACCTGCCTGTGCTTGGCGACACATTTTGTAATTAAAAACAGAAAAGGTAAATAAAAGAGCATCTTTAGTTCACACATAGGAGCAATATAAAAATAGATGTACCTTCCAAGCGGGAGATAGACTCGGAGCAGACAGGAGGCGGGCGGCTCAGACAGAAACATTTGAGTCACAAATTTATTTTCAGGAGAACAAGCCTGACGGGGTATTTACTGTCAGTATTAAGGATCCCAAACATTATGGGGGAATGTGACAGGCCTCACAATAAGCTCTTTGGCAACAGAACAAGAAATTGTGTTTCAATTGATATACTAAAGACACATTTCAACTGCAGTCCAAGTGTACTGACAACACATCTGGATGCGAGACCCGTCGATGTAATTTGCCACTTTGAACAGACTGTATTGCGTTAACTGACAAAACTCACCTCGACCTTTATGATTCCTGACAGAAGAAGGGCCCCGAAGATTATCAGCAGGGAGCCAATCAGAAACAGGAATATCGCCAGAGCGATCGCCTTGTACGGGACCTTCGGCGGGCTTTTCTTGAACTATGAAGCGTTCAATTGTTGGACAAAACACAAAACATTTAAGTGGTTTTTTTTTTACCATTATGTTTAATCGTAGCAGAAACTGTAGCTTGCCTCAACATTTGTAAGTGCTGCACTTTCATAATGAATATTACAATCATTTCGCTTTGCGTCAAAACAAAATTAGCCGACGTTAACCGCGAGCAAATACTGTAAACGGACACAAAACAGGAAAAGTTGTATCAGAATAAGAGCTGGTGTAATCTCTCTGGTATAATCACAGAAGGCTTTTGGCACATCACCAGGAAGTCATTAATATGGATTTATCTCAAATTGCCTAAAGAGCCTGGTAATTATTAAGCCTAATAGCTAGGCTTAATAATTACCAGGCTCCTGGCCAAACCACGGCTCTCACCTGTAAGTCTATGTAACCGTCGTCATCAGCAGCCAGCCGTGAATACTTGACCTTGTTGTTAGATATTCCAACACCCAACATATTCCCTCTGGGCTCCTTCATTCAGAGCTGTTTGGACGGAGAGACAGAGAGGTAATCATTCTGAATATCTTTGACTGCTGTAACCTGTGCTGAGATCAGTTTTTCAGCAGAAGGTGCTCATCCCCTCTTGTCATCTCCAGTGTCGCTTCTGCTAGAAAATGTAAGCCCTGAACTGGCCTTTTTCATTCAGCGCCGGACACAACTTTCCGACGTCCACTTTTACTGGAACAAGGGCCAGGCCACTGGCTGTTACTATTGAAAGCCTTTATTAGAAAAAATGAGAAGTTTGCAGCACGCTGTCTGAGAGGTTCGGTGTAACTTCTGATCTTTCTGCTTTCCTACAAAAACCTGCCTCGATCGGGGACTATTTATTCCATGTGTGCACACAGAGAAAGAAACAAGAAAATTACCACAACACTGATCTGCCCCGAAGGGACTCGGAGAAGTGTGATGACACATTGCGATCTGATCTTCCTCGAGGCCTGAGTTTTGTTTATGTTGGAGATATTTGGCTCTGTGAATAGTTGCACTTGAGGAGCCCCAACCCCCCAGCAGACTAAACCCAGGAATAAAAACCGTTGTTCCAGCTTGAACAGAGCACACAGATGAGCTTTTCAGAAACAATCTGTTGTGTTGCCGGCAGCCGTCACATCAACTCGCCACAGAGCCCTTCGAATGGAGGAGAGCTCCAGGTTATGGCTCTTGTGAAGTCGAAGCGCTCGCTGCAGAAAGGGAATGCTGTGGATTTAGCGAAAATGGAGGAAAGTGTTCACGAGAGCTTTTCTGGATGTCCCTGTATTATCTGAGAAAAACATGCGCGGCTTTGAAAGCTACAAATACGTGGGAGTGTTCATCAGTATTCATCTGGGCTGGTTTAAGGGAGACGGAACCTTTGGTGCAAATACTTCTCCACAAGATTGTTTCAGCTGAAGAGCAGCATTCTTCCAAAGGGTGTTCCCTGATCAGTTGTTGTTGATGATGGCGGCTGTCGAAGGTGTTCAATTGTTTTTGATGCTGTTGCTACAGACCTGTATAAACTCACTGACATTGTGGAGAGGCCTGCAGGACATCTCTAATTATAAGAGACCCCCCCCCCCCAAACAAACTGTGGACAACCGTCAACTTGACAACGACCTGAATGTGCTTCACTGCAAGTTTGACGAACGCACATTCACATCACGATGTGTGTCGAGACAGAAGATCAGGAAGGCGCCGGCCCAGACGGCGTGTAACCCTCCTTTCTGAGAGTCTGTGCTGACCAGCTGGCCCCCCATCTTCAGACAGATCTTTAATAGATCACTGGAGTCGTGTGAAGTCCCCCCCCCGCCCTGCTTCAAAAGCTCCACTATCATCCCGGTCCCCGAGAAACCCTCCATCACAGAATTGAATGACTGCAGGTCTGTCGCTCAGACGTGTGTGGTCACGCCATCCTTTGAGAGACTGGAGCAGGGCCACTTGAAGAGCATCACAGGACCCCTGCTGGACCCCCCCTGCAGTTTGCCTGCCAGGCAAACAGGTCAGCGGATGATGCTCTCAACGTGGGACTGCCCTACATCCTGCAGCACCATGCAGGGACATACAGGAAGCACGGATCTGGGACCTCCTCAGCTCGGCGTTCAACACCAACATCCCAGACATCCTCTGCTCCAAACTCACCCATCCGTCGGTTTATCACAAACTTCCTGACAGAGGGGAGGCAGCAGGTGAGGCTGAGGAAAATCCCACCCAGCATCCGGACCATCGACCCCCGCCCCTAGGAGACCCGTCTGTTAAACTCCTCAAATGTCATCATCATCCTCATTGCATACCATAGTAGAACGTCCTGGTGTTTTTGACATAATGCACAGAGGTTTAGTCCTTGCGCCAACTCAGCAAGTTCAACCTGCCTCACGAGCTGCCGATCCAATTTTACACTGCAGTGATTCACTCTGTTCTCTGCACATCCATCACCGTGTGGTTTCCAATTAGCCACCACACCGGGACAGGGTACAGACTACTGCGAACAGTCGGGAGGAGTGCAGGAAAGAAATCACTGGCGCCAGGACATATACACCTCCATCCCTGCAGACCCTTCACAACCTGGTCACAAGCTGTTCCAACTCCTCCCGTCTGGTAGGAGCTACAGAGCGCCATACGCCAAAGCAACCAGACACAAGAACAGTTTGTTTCCACAGGCCGTTACCCTGATGAACACTTAACACCTGCCACAAAGGAACACTAACAATACCGCTGTAACACTAACATACCGCTGTACCGGTCAATTACAGCCTATGTTTTGTCATGTAAATACACGCTGTTTTTAAACATGCAATTATCATCACTGTCAAATCTAAGCACACTGTGTGTAGCCTGCTGTCATGTCCGCCCACCTCATGTGAATAAATCAACCAGCTACATTAGTCATTCCATATTTATTAACAACCTTTGCACTTTTTTATTTATTTTTTTGCTTACTGTTTACAAATGACATTGTGTTGACAGAATTTTCATACTCACCAAACCATTCAGCGAGCCGGTACGGAAGCATTCTTTATTTGTGAACATGCATGTATTATATATTTATATATATTTATATTTATATAGTTATTCTTGGTCGCCCATACATCCTACCACTGCACACACATTGTATGGTATGTTTTAAAGACTGACGCTGACATTTTTTTGGCTAATGTATTTATATGTATTTTTTTTTTTATTGTATTATTATTGATACACAATGCAAGGATTTTGTATTTCTACTTCATTACCACACCCTTGAATTTGTACACCACTGAAGTCATATATGGGGATGGGGTTGTTGTACTGCGCTCGTGACGCAGTAAAACCCTGGCTTCCCTAAATTACGTTTAGCTCGTTTAATCTTTTAATGCGTGACAGGTTTTGCATATGGCACTTATACCTCTATGGCACTTATGGTACTTATTATAGTTCACCACTGTATCCCCTGTGAATAATTTGTAACATTAATGTATGCGCATGATGTTCCGGTATAATTTCCTACTGTATACTTTCCTGCAGCTGTATCATATCTTACTGTGTCGTCACATGAAGACGCATACTATTACTACTAAAACATGAAGACGCATACTATTACTACTAAAACATGAAGACGCATACTATTACTACTAAAACATCCACAGGAAAAGTAAAGGAGAATAGTTTTGTATCATGCTCACAAGTGTACGTCACGTCACGTTAAGTTTAAATTCTCAATCCTTCTCGTGTTATCTAGGTTAAACCATGTAACGTCACATATGGCTAATTACAGGCTAATAAACAAGCAGCTTCTGTGCATTAAAAACGTTATGCAGCCGAGTTTCTTTTTGTCCAGCACACAAGTCCAGACGAAGCTGTTCACTGCTGGGGGAACTTAGCTAACCTGCTTTGTTTACTTCTTCTCATACCTAATTAGCTGGAGCATTAGCTTCTTAGAAGTTACGCTATCAAACTCGAGCTAACGTAACACGACAAACGCGAAGAGCTTTGATGAAAAGCTCGTTTCTTCTGCTCGGTCAGCTCTTACCTTCACTCGAGGTTTAATTGACACCGTCGGTGTCGCTATCTGTCGTGGACTGCTCCTCTGCGGTGCCACATCTACTTTGTTTCCATTGATGGAAATCTGCGTCAACTTCCTTGTTTTCGAGCATTGCGCATGCGCACATAAATCTCCTGATCCTTTTCCTGATGAAGTTCACAGGCTTCATGTCCACGTTTTTCATCCATATTGTGGCCGATCGGAGTGGGCTGATAATCCAATCCCACACCGTACAAATATTCACTTGCAAGTGAAGTTTTTTCCTCAATAAATCCACTGCATTAAAAGTGCAGAGGTGGACGATAAAAAATAAAGGTTTTGCAGCAAAATAGCCTGATTCACCATCATGCTTTAACGTTTGATTGGTTAAATATTATCATTGGAATATTATTGTTAATGAAAACGAAATCAATTTAATGTTGTGCCAGGTTTATATAAAATAGCATTATCTTGTATTATTATTTAGAAAAGTGTAAAGTAAATGATAAGACTTAAAGTACCTCAAAACTGCACTTCAGCACAATTGTTGATTAATATACTTTATGTTCTTTGTCTTTGCGTCCAGGACTTCTGTGTGTTGTCTTCTCTGTCCTTACCTTGGCCACTCTCCTCTCCGTGGTCTTTCACTGGTCTTCTTCACATGTCCTTCAGCGAATTACAGAATATTGAGATTCAAACATTTTCAGCAATGCGCAATTTTGTTTGCTTTCTTTTTAAAAGACCCTGAGCTTGAACTATTAGGTGCTGCATACAGTACATGGTGTCATTGCTTGCAGTGTGTTTTTATCTCAGATTTATGTAAGCCCACAAACTTGTGCAGAGAACCTGAAGACAAACAAATGTAACTGAAGGATATGCATCTTCACCCTCCACTCATTGCATTGACAAATCCTTGTGTTTGTCAATGCTGTTTTTCTTTTTGTTAGATTTCTATCGCACTCTTTTTTTTTTTTTTTTTTGAAGCTTCATACCTATTTATTTTTATTTTACTTCAAACTTTGTAATCACATTCCAGTCTACTTGCTGATTAGCTCTGCAGCTCTTTGGTTAAGTGGAAAGTAAATGGCACTGCACTTTCAGAAAAAAAAGATCCTTCCCTTTGAGCTCTCTACAAAGTGGATTGCCTGTTGTCACAGTCAGTCACATTATTAGTGGATTTTTAAAAGCTGATGATATTACCAATGTTTTTGCTATGAAGCTGCAAAGAGCTGTGAGAGAAAACATTAATTTTCTATTTACACCAGATTTGTATTTTTTGTACTGTGACAACTTCATTTGTGCAAATGAAAGGACGACTCTCTCGTTAAACCCACACAAACTCGTTTGTATTTTGAAGCTCTGGGACAGAAAACAGATGTGTTCTGTATGGAACCACCATCATCTTGTAGTGAGCTACTTTGTGTCCTGATAAGTAAATGCTCTGTGCACCAGCATAGAGGTAGCTCATTATTTTTGTGATTTTTTACCATATTATCTGCAACAAATCTCCATAGAACAACAATCTCGAATTATAGCCTACAGACATATTAATTTGAATACAAACATGTATCAATCAGATTAGAATAAATCCAGTGTGTTCCACTCAAATCATATCAACTGAGGAAAAATATGACGAATGATAAATTAATCTTTACAGCCTTTGCAGACTATCAAGGGCATTTAACTAAAGTAACCTAATTCAAGTACCACAATATTAAAGCAACGTCACTTGATTACTTTACGTTACTTTTGGATAACCCCCAAAGACAAGAGAAAAGAAAAATGCTAAAATGTTGCCATTATTTTATAAGTAAAGCAGAAAAAAGGAACAACCTCACACCATCACAGTGCAAGTCCTGCCTTCCAGCTGTGAACATTCTGTCATCATCCAAGGACTAATATTAACTTGGAGCAGCAGCAATAACCATTAATTAAAATAAATTAGCCTACATGCAGATTTCCCCGTTTGTCCTCTATTAAACCAGACATTTGTCTTTTCATGCAGGGATGCCTCTTGGCAAAAAGAATAATCTTTATTAACTGGGAGTGCGTAAACCATCGTGCTTTGTGATAACTTCCACTGTACAGTGATGTTATTCCCCTTTATTGCTTTATATGCAAAAGAACGGTGAAGTTTCCACCCTGCGAAATTTTCTTTTTTCACTAATGTTAGAGGCCACTGTCTGAAACTCGACAGCGTATGTCTGGTATTGTTTTCACCTTGTGAGTGGGCACACGCGAAGTAGCTGAGGCTGATGGGAGTGCCATATGTTTTGCAGGTATTCAGTCATGAACCGAAGTATTGGACACATTTACATTTTAAGATAATGATGGTGCCACATGAAAAGTTATGGGATTGCCAAAGTGAATACAAATCATCCTAATGGGGACACGAACATCTGCACAGAATTGCATTGCAATTCATCTAACTCATGATGAGAGATGAGGCTAACATGGCTACAAATAATAATAACCAATCCTGTGATGGGATCACAAGAGACGCAACGCCCACTGGGGATAGGGGCATAAATTGGAGGCGCCAATTACCCTTTCCCCACTTCCAACAACTGGCACCCATGCTCGGACCACAGCCATATTCCCCTCTGCCTTCATTTTGATATCAACTACACACCTGTAACGTTTTGTGACTGCATCTTACACAGTTGTTACACTATCACAGCAACAAATCTCTCCACAGCCAAAGAAATATTAACAGCTGGTAAAGTACTCAAAACTCTTCTGTGGCAGTTTCTGCTGCAGTAGGTGTCTCCAGGACCACATTTTGCCATGAGGACACATACACAGACTCACAAGGTGAAAACGATACCAGCCTACTCATGGCTGGTAGTAAGTTAACACAGGCATCTTTATAGATAACCACATCTGCTTTTGAAATAATGACATAATGCTTGTCCCAGTTTGGTTTATGAAAACCCCAAACATATTGGACCAACGAGTGAACATCCTTTTTCACATAAAACAAGTCAAAAACCACACACACAACCACATTCAAGGCATTTTGGGTAGCAGCTGGCAGTAGCCTTGTAAGAATTATAAGTGTATACATGGAGGGAACAAACAGTTTGAGCCTGCAGTATTTTTCTACTAATGGCAGGACCCTTTGCGGAGGATTTACTGTGCTCAAATATAAACTCTATAGTCATTTATCCCATGGGCATGTGTTTCTGGTTTGGGTATATTCAGCCCCTGTCTGCAGATTATGTGTTGAACTTGTTACCTTTCAAGCAAATAAATTATAAGTAAACTCTTTCACTTTAAAGGTCAGGTTCCTCGCCTTGGGTGGACCGGCATCTCCTAGAAACATTGCTGCGCTGAAGCGCTCGGAGCATCCCCTCATAACTGATGTTCTCTCCCATTCGCTGACTTCAGACATCAGGAAGTGATTACAATTGGGGGGGGGGAACTCCGGCGGCTGCCGCCTCCACTTGGCAGAGGGAAATACATTTTGTGGTTATCAGCTTCAGCTGGTTAAATGCTAAATTATTCATAGGGAGGTAAAGGCATGCTCTCATGAGATTAGTGCGCCTAATTGTTCCTCCAGTTTGCTGCTTGAATGCAGGAGCGAGGCTGGCTGAACACCAGCATCCTGGATGATTCCATTAATGAGGAAACGAGACGAGACATTCAGAAACTATTTACAGAGCTCCTGAAACTTTTAATATACTCAGCTTAGCAAAAAAAGGTGCCTCCAACCTTGCAGGTTGGGAAAATGAAAAGGGAAATTAGAAATCAAGTTGGATGAAGGCGGCTGATCTACCGTACAACACAGATTCTAGAGTATGTTCACTCTTGTAACATTTTATTGACGTTATAAGAAAAGGACTATTATCTTATTTTCCCAGTAAAATAAACCCAAAAGGCTTTTAAACTACTTAATAGCTATCTGAAACCTTAATGTCCCGCTGGCCTGTTTTCAAGCTCCAGGAGATACGTGGAGATTATTTTATACTTCTCCACAATATGCAGATTTGTTAGCTCTCTCAAGGCATTTTTATTTTAGCAAATATATGGAGTTTTTCAACCTTTTTATATCCGTCAGGGCCCTTGTAAAAGTCCTAGGGCATGCCGATGTCCACAAAATTATACAATTTTTGAAATATCTGTAATGTCTGAATTACCAAAATATCACAGCTGTGTTATAG